ACTGAGGAGGGGAAAACTACACCTCGACCGAAAGCGAGGTCAACACCTAGCGAGTTACCAAGGTGATGTCACCACTTGTGTGTAGTGTGGTTCAAATTATCTAAATGACACATCCATACTCACAAGCAGCATCTTTTTTATCGGGCTCCAGCAGACATATCTCTTTTGGGTAGCAGAATAACCTACAAACACATTTTATAGCTCTGTAATTTAGCTTTCCTACTGATAGCCTATTATCATTCACAAAACATATACATCTAAACACTTTTAATGGGAGGATCATGTTATTATCTTTTTTCAACATCTGATAATGAGACTTCCAATCAAACACCCTCGATAGCATCATATTGATCAATTGAGTAGCTGTCAAAATTGCTTTCCCTCATAAGTGTTTTGAGATATTCATTGCGATCATCATAATTTGGGCTACCTCTAGAAGGTGTTTATTTTTTCTCTCTGCTACTCTATTTTGCGTCGGTGTGTATGGACATGTGATTTGATGTTGTATCTATTGGGCTGACAAGTATTCCCCAATTGCTTTGTTGGCATACTGTTCTATTATTAGACCTCAATACCTGCACTACTGCATCGTATTGAGTTTGGATGGTCTTATGGAAGTTTTTAACGAAATTAAACACATCATCCTTATTTTTCATCAAATATAACCAAATAAAACGAGAAAAACATGCAATAAAGGTCGCAAAATATTGATAACCATTCATATAACTTATAAAAAAAGTCCCTAAATATCATAATGTTTAGAGTTAGTTAATTCAGTTGAGATTGGTTGGCAAGTGTTTGGTAATTAAGTTTCCGTTGCAGTCAAGCCAACCATTTACTCGGTGGTCTCGTGCCATGTTGTATTAGACCAAAGATCCAAGAAATTAGCAACTCAGCTGAATTGACTTAACGCCAGCTCCTTTGTGAGCTTTAGTCAACTTGGAACATACTGTGCTCAGAAATTCTTAGCGTTAATGAACCCCCTATGTTGTAGTCTTCTAATAACTTCTCTCATCATCAATGCAAGGAAGTCTGAGTATTTGTTGATCTAAGAAAGGCACTTCTTTGTAATTGTTAGTTGTAGCGGACCACTTTGTGGTGCAGAACATCAAATGTGTCACAAACTTTTTACAAGATCCCAAATGAAGTCTCAGCTTCTAATGTGAAATGTTAATCTTCATTGTAATTTGTAATTTTAAATTTCAAATTTAAAACTTCAAATTTTAGCTTGATGGTTGAGAGTTAGTTAATTCAGTTGAGATTGGTTGGCAAGTGTTTGGTAGTTAAGTTTCCATGCAAGGTGGTCAATGTTGTGAGATCATGAGTCAATGTATTCACCACATATGCGTGCAAACTTAATATCTTTTCCTTATAAAACTGTAGTTTTATAAGCCAAGTGGAACGGTGAGTTACATCATTCCAAGAAATCGCCGACCAAACTCTTTTTTTTAATTCAACTTTGTAATTGGAGGGAAAAAATGTTGTAAATGATTCTTTCAAGTTCTCTTCTTCCATTTGGTTGAAGAATGTTCTTTGAAAATCAACCACAATTATTTAAGGATAGCACATTTTGATACCGGAGTTCAACCGAGCAACAACAGGAAAATCAGATATTATTGTTGAATTTAAATAGGGAGAATTACAACCAACAAATGGATATAGAAAATAGCAACAAACACAACACATAAACTCAAATTAGGCTTGGATCTAGGTGGTGGTGGTGATCAGCTAGGGTTGGGAAGGTGATGGAGTGATGGAAAGAGGCTGTTGGCAAGCAGAAAACAATAGCTGTTTCCCGGGTTTCAGACAGCAAAGAAGCAGTGTAGATCAACATGGAATGGATGTCCTGGGTGATGACAGCACGGAGGAAGGTGGCAGCTGCAAGGGAGAGGCGGTTAGCGGCGTGGGCAGCAGTGGTGGTTGCTGTCCAGGGTGGTGGCTGGACAGCAACCGGGAGGGGTAGGGAAGGCTGGAAACTGCAGAAAAAATGGCAATTTCTTGCTGTTCTGGGTGGCGGAGGCAGCAAGGTGGGGCGATGGACAGCGATGCGGGAAGGACTGATATGGGCAGACGAAGGATAATCACCACCTCCGGAGCGAGATATAGCCGTAGCACTATTCAGACCCATGGATACAACCCTAGAAGGGAAAACACACCCGGGCGGCTGTCTCGAACAACACATGGCAAAAATTGCTCCAAAACACATCGAAAATAACACATATCGACCTAGGGTAAGTAAGGAGCCGACCCCATTACCCATAGGCGACATCTCTCCTTGGAAGGTTCGGTCGGTCCCTCCTCTGCCTGGACCAAATAGGTCCATGATGGGAGGGGCAGCAATTGCTGCGCGCCAATGGTGCCTGGACACCCATGTCACACTTGTCTCAACTGCTAGGTTGTCATTTGGAAACCAACACTGGCATTTTTTTTTTCTTTCTAGAAAGCTTTGCGCTCTGCTAGGACCTGTGAAATCTTGTTCTCTGATATTTGTGCTCACCTGGAACCAGTGCAATTCAAGTTATTTTGTTTCAGTTTTCATGTACAATCTCTGATAATGATCTGGTGGTGGTACACAACTTTTAATCAGAGAATTTTTGTGCTCTTTGTATAAAAATGGCATTATCCATTGTTGGTTGTTTCACTTTACGCTTTTGTTTTTATTACACTCTTTTCATTATTGACTCTTTTCTGGTGTCGTTATTATGTTAGATCGAAGCTCCTAAAGATCTATTGAAGCCAATCAAGTTGGGACAATCATCGGTTCTTAAAGTTGGTCAGCAATGCTTAGCAATTGGAAATCCCTTTGGGTTTGACCATACTCTTACTGTCGGGGTTATAAGCGGGCTAAATCGTGACATTTTTAGTCAAGCTGGGGTCACAATTGGAGGAGGTATTCAAACTGATGCAGCCATCAATCCTGGTAACAGGTTTGTTCATATATTCTCTGTGCTCTTTAAAAACACGCCTTAAGCATTCAAATTGATGCATTGTTTTAAGCTTATATTTAGATTATCACACTTTGTTTCTATTTACCACCGTAATACTTTGATAATTTTATTGAATATCATCTTATAGGTTACCGTTTTTGCTCGATTTGGCTCTTTGTTTTATTTTTGGTTTTTAAAGTAGATATTACACGGTCTTTGTCCTGTAGCCACGAATGTGTCGGCAGTACAGAGTTAGCATCTAATTCCAAGATTTTACGATGCTTACAAAATCCAATCTATATTTAGTTGGTGACTTGATCTTTTGCCATGGTATTAGAAGTGCTGTAATTAATATATGACTGATGTTTTTGTTCTGCTTGCAATATTCAGTGGCATGAAGAACATTAGAAGTTTATTGTGGTATATCTATTGGTAAACTTCCAAATTTTTCTCATTCACTATATAAAACACAACAGATGAGAGAAATGATAAACAGGTCAAATACAAAATCTCCCATTCCCCCATAGTCATAAGCTCGAGCTTCTTGATGATAACTTGAATCGGCCAATACATTTTTTGCTGATATAATAAATCCTCTACTTTCATCCTTCAAATTTTGAAGTTTGTCTCATTGAACTTCTTCATTTTGCTCCTTGCTCCGTTGATCATTACTCTCATTAAAATTAAACACTCCGGCTCTGATACCACTTTGTTATGATGAAAACCTTATACTTCTACTAGGGCTTAGATCCAATTAAAAATCACAACCACACAGCAAAATAGGATTACACTAATTCAAAAAAATTGAAACAAAATATTCAAAACGAAGCACAACCAAAAAAAAAAATCCAAAAAACACACCAAGATTTAATCTGAAAAAAACCTAAGAACGAAAAAAAAAACACGGAATCACACAATCAAAAAATTTTACTATGAAAATTTTATGAAGTACAGAATACTCATTCAGATCTCCCTTCTATAATGGATGAAACTTACAGGACATTGCTCCAAACCCTTTCTCTTGATCTTACAATAAAAAAAAACATGTTACAATCTTCATCTCTAACACTTTCTTTCATGGAACCTTCGCCAAAAGAGCCGCAAGTGAGACTCAGAGTGCGTTTGAGACAGCTTGTGCTTATTCAGATAAGCAGTTTATCCTAAAACGTGGCCAGCGATTAGCCCGCGGGGGTCGACCCGGGGTCTGCGTTTAGTGTAAAAACTCAAATGCAGTTTCAGATAAGCTGGTGAAACGCGCCAACCAAATGGTACAGCGGCGTTTTGAAACACCGCCCGCACTTATAAGCTGCCCCAAACGG